ACTTGTGAGGACAGAGACGGTTTGAGAGTAGAGATGGGTCTTAGGCTTTACAAGATGTCAAGGCTTGGATGGGTTGGGGAGTGGAGGTGAAGTAGGTTGGGATTGCAAAAGGCCTTATGTGTCAAGCTGAGGAATTTGGGTTCAGACCTCAAGGAGGCTAATAAGGAGCTATTGTAGATTATTGAGCAGATGGATGGCTTATCAAAAGCATTGTTTGCTCTGCTGTATATGTGGGGTTAGATTGGCGTTGAGGAAAGACCCTATAAACATTTGTATTTTGGTGTATTGAAGTAGAAACAGCAGTTTTGCCAAGTCCAGGCCAATTTATATTGCTGCAGGAAGTTAACAGAAAAATAAGGTGTTAATAAGAACATATTTTCCCTGTGTTACTTCCTGGGACGTGGCTGGCTTGGTGGCTGAAGACAGAATTAGCATGTTTAATTTTTATTATCTATGACTTCATAAACAATTTTCCATTGATATAGTGATAGAATATGGATTATTATCCTAGATTATACAAGTTGAGTGAGTCTCTCTAATCCAAAATGCTTGGGACAAAAAGTGGATTTTTTTTTTTTCGAGGAGTTTTTTTTTTTTTTTGGGATATTTGCATTATACTTACCAGTTAAGCATCCCAGATCTGAAAATCTGAAGTCTGCAATGCTCCAAATGATCATTTCCTTTGGTAGGTATGTAAGTAACCAAAAAGTTTGCAGGTTTTGGAGCATTTTAGATTTTGTATTTTGGCTTTGGGATACTCAACCTATATGAGGGAGAGACACATGAAATTTGTTTTTATAGGTGAAAATTGGTAGAACTACCAGCAATTTCATATGGTTCCATTTTATTGATTTTGTAAATAAAGTTGTTGCTGGAGCTGAGTAGACTCGGGCAGGCCTCGGGCTTTCTAGTTAGGTCGATTGGGGTAGGTTCTGAACAGCAGTGCTTAGTGGGAACCTGAAAGTGCTCTGTGTGCAGTTGTCCTGGAGCATGAACATGTTCCTGGAGACTGAGCCCCAGACCCAAAGGATATGCTGTGCTCTTTCCAATGTTTGCTCTCCCTGCCCATGGACCAGGCATTCAGAGTCATCTTATTTTATTCTCTTACCTGTAAAGAAGAAAAATGTGCTCTAGACTATTTTAAAAGAGGAAAGAGGTCTTGTGGAAGAAAGGATAAAAATCAGTGCATCCCAAGGTTGAATTTTCCTGATGCTTCCCAGTAACTTGAAGCAGTCATAGCTAGAAGAAGCATAATTTCAGTTGGTCCCAGTTATGCTAAGGAGGTGGAGACTGAATTCTCACTTTTGCTCCAGACCAAGGAGTTTTTGAATGAGCTTGTGAATGCCTGGGCAGTGGAATGAACATGCCTGATGTTGGTGTGGTGGAGGCAGAGCTATTCTGTCTTTACGTCCTTTTTGACCATGTCCTGGGATGGAGGCTGCTCTTATGGAGCCCATCCTTGGTTCAGGGATGGTGTGTTCCCAGATTGTTCTCCTAACCACCAGAGATCAGGGAAAGCTTTGAGGTAGGATCTGCTGAAACTGGATGAGCACAGACATCCCAGATAGCACATCTCCTCTTCTCCCTACCCAGCTCTGGGTACCGTTGTGCCAAGTCATCCATTATCACACTCAGACTCTACAGTCCCAATGTTTGGGACCTTGAGGCCACTGGTCCTATCGTAGTTTGGGCCTCTTTGTCACTCTATGTCGCCGCTCAATATGTAAGGCCCACCACTGTCAGTCCTGTTCCATGAGCACCACTTTGTGCCTCCCTGACATCCCCTCCTGGACCTTTCAGGAGGGTTCAGGGGCTCCCCTGAACCTCCTTCTACACAAAAGGTTCAAACATCCTTAAGGTATTCACTGAAGGTTCCTTTGTCATATTGGCTCTCCCCTGAGGGGCACTCTTCTATTTCTTCCCAGTAATAGATAATTCTTACTTTCCAGGAACTGTAGATTTTGAAGGTAGAGCTCAGAATTTGGCTCCACAGGTCTGCTTCACAGCTATTATTTTTCTTCCCTCCTAGAACACCTTTCCTTAGCTGAGGCTTTTATCATCTGGTGATACAATATATACCCTTGCTTTGCCACTGTCATACAGTGGCTGTCCATTCATTTTTCCGTGTTACCAGAGTCTTTCCTTCATCTGTGCTGACCTCAGTGGCCATGTGGACCACGGGTCCTGCCCTATGTCATGGTTCCTTGGCCCCTGTACTGGGTGGCCTCTACCTCATCAGGTATTGAAAGCCCAACTCAAATCTTGTCTTCCTAGCACTCTTGGTTGCTCACTCTCCTGGTACTTCCATTGGATTCCATTATGTCCTCTTTATGCCTGTAGGTTTTCCTGGTAGGTCTGCCCTCTTGTGACCACAGCCAGCAGTTGATTCCGTGGGCCTTCCTATCCTTTTTCCACATCTGCTTGGAAATGTCTCAGTCCAGGATATAGGCTAAAATCACTTTCTCTGTCCCTATACTGAGTCTTCTGAGAAAATAATCAGGACTTCATTTACTTGGTCCAACAGTACATATCAAGGATCCTACTGTGTGTGAAGCACATAAGAAAAACCAACAAGAACGCCAGCCCTTTTGTGCGTATGCATTTGACGGTCACCTTCCTTGACACTCTTCCTGAGTTCCCCAATGCAGGAAATACAAACTGTATTCCTTCTGTAGCTCTTTTTCTTTCTCTCAACATCAGCTATGTCAGGCAAAAATGGAGGCAGAGTAATTAAAGAGACTGTGAGAAGAAAGGGGGTAACAGATGTCCATAAATAGTTTAACTGTAAATGTGATTGTGAAGCTCATAAATTTGTGGTGTGTGGGAAGATCAGTATCAGCCACTACCTTGTTGTCTCATCTGACACCTGCGTCTAGATGGAAATCATCTCAGAACAGATTGTACATTATAATTAAAAAACAAAAAACATTCTGTGTAGATTTGCTAGGCCAAAATACCCATCTGGCACAACTGGAGTTTCTGCTACAGTTGATTCAAATACACTTATAAAAGATTATTTTAAATTTCTTTTTAAAGGAAGCATAAACAGCAGATTCTTCCATGTAGGATATGACCTATGGGTCTTGTAGGGTAACTTTAACAATTGTCATCCCGCCCTTGTGGCTTAACTGAGTTACACATTCTGTTCTTTTCCAATTTCCCTTCCTGACCTGGATGGAAATTGAGGAAATTAAACCACTCTTGCCTCAGCTGCTTTACTCTGGCTGGGTATAGTCAATGAGGAAATATGAAGTCTTGTTTTATTCATGTATATTCTCATTATTTAAACTCTGAACCTTGATTTCTTTACATTTTTTAATAAGGAGAGGGAAAACCTTCTGGACAAGGAAGTGTCTATACCTAGACTGAAGCCTCCTTCAATTTTTCTATACTATAATGCGAGTGAATCTCAGTCAGAGCTTTAAGAAATACCTACCATATCAAGAACAGAAAATTAAACACCACATGTTCTCACTCATAGGCGGGTGTTGAACAATGAGAACACATGGACACAGGGAGGGGAGCATCACACACTTGGGTCTGTGTGGGGGAACTAGGAGAGGGACACCAGGGGGCGTGGAGTTGAGGAGGGATAATATGGGGAGAAATGCCAGATATAGGTGATGGGGAGGAAGGCAGTAAACTACACTGCCATGTATGTACCTATGCAACAATCTTGCATGTTCTTCACATGTACCCCAAAACCTAAAATGCAAAAATACACACACACACACACACACACACACACACACACACACACACATAAATACCTACCATATCATGTTGGCCCATGAGTTCTTGTGATGGCAGGTGAACCTGTGCACAGTAGACTTCTACCTTATTGATAGATTATGTTACTAATAAAATGAAATTATAATATAAAATGGATATTAACATCATAAGGATGGTGTTAATAACTAGCAACTATTGTGTCTTTAACATGTGTCAGGCAGTCCGTTAGATGAATTGTAATTTGATCATTTATTCTTCACAAAAACCCTGGGAGGAAGGTGTAGCATTCTTACTTTATAAATGAAAAAAAATGAAGTACAAATAATTTGCCCAGGTTCACACAAATAGTCCGTGGCCGTGCCTGGATTAAAATCCAGATCTGTCTCAAACCCTGTGACCATAACCTCTTCGCATACTGCCCCACCTTGAGTGAGTTCATAGTCAAGCTGAAAAAACTCTTTTTGGCAAAGAGATGGGTAAGATTTGGGATTTTCAAAGTTCTGGAATGTTCCTGCCTTTTGCTGGCATTTCATGGGTAGCAAACCTGGCCCTTTTTATCTCTGTTGTAGATCCTTGAAGGTCAGTTCACTTTGGGGTAACTGGAGTTGTTTACAGAGTCAGCCTCGCCTTGAGAGGACTCCTCTATTAATCTGTTTTCACGCTGCTGATAAAGGCATACCCGAGACCGGGCAATTTACAAAGAAAGGTTTACTTGGACTTAGGGTTTCACATGGCTGGGGAAGCCTCACAATCATGGCTTAAGGCAGGGAAGGGCAAGTCCCATCTAACATGGATGGCAGCAGGCAAAGCAAGAATGAGGAGGACGCGAAAGCAGAAACCCCTGATATAACCATCAGATCTCGTGAGACTTATTCACTACCACGAGAACAGGACGGGGGAAACGCTCCCATGATTCAGTTGTCTCCCACTGGCTCTCTCTGGCAGCACGCGGGGATTATGGGAGTACAATTCAAGATGAGATTTGGGTGGGGACACAGAGCCAAACTGTATCAGCTCTCGAGGTGTGGCCCATCCTGGGGGCCCCTATGAGGTCTACAGGAATGACTGCAGGCCCCACGCTGACTCTGTTCTGCACTCCTGGTGTAGAGGAGACTAAGTATAAAGGCTCCATCATTTCTAACAGACTCTCAGAGACCACAGTCATAAAGTGTAATACTAGAATCCGTCGTCTTTAGTAAAGCTTTGGTGAAGGCTGAGGGCCCTCTGAACCCATCTTGACTTTTCCTTTTGTCCTTTTCCTGTTGCAGGACAGCAAGGCCTATGTGACCATTCTCTAAAATATTTAAGCTCACGAATCACAGAACGGAAGCTGCAAGGCTCCTGGCTGCCGGCTGGCCGAGGGAATCTGGAGAAACCATTCCTGGGGCCACGTGGCCCCGTCGTGCCCTTGTTCTGCCCTCGGAACAGCCTTCACTCGGCACACCCGGAGAACAGCCCGCTGAAGCCCAGGGTCGTGACGGTGGTGAAGCTGGGTGGGCAGCGCCCCCGAAAGATCACTCTGCTCCTCAACAGGCGGTCAGTGCAGACGTTTGAGCAGCTCTTAGCGGACATCTCAGAAGGCCTGGGCTCTCCCAGATGGAAGAATGACCGCGTGAGAAAACTATTTAACCTCAAGGGCAGGGAAATCAGGAGCGTCTCTGATTTCTTCAGGGAAGGGGATGCTTTCATAGCAATGGGCAAAGAACCACTGACACTGAAGAGCATTCAGGTGGCTGTAGAAGAACTGTACCCCAACAAAGCCCGGGCCTTGACACTGGCCCAGCACAGCCACGCCCCTTCGCCAAGGCTGAGGAGCAGGCTGTATAGCAAGGCTCTGAAAGGAGACCACCGCTGTGGGGAGACGGAGACCCCCAAGAGCTGCAGTGAGGTTGCAGGGTACAAGGCAGCCATGAGGCACCAGGGGAAGATCGCTGAGGAGCTCTCACTAGATGACAGAGCGAGGACCCAGAAGAAGTTGGGAAGGGGGAAATGGGAGCCGGAACCCGGTAGCAAGCTGCCCAGGGAAGCCACTGTAGAAGAGAGGCACGCAAGGGGAGAGAAGCACCTCGGGGTGGAGATTGAAAAGACCTCGGGTGAAATTATCAGATGCGAGAAGTGCAAGAGAGAGAGGGAGCTCCAGCAGAGCCTGCAGAGGGAGAGGCTTTCTCTGGGGACCAGTGAGCTGGATATGGAGAAGGGCCCAGTGTATGACATGGAGAAGCTGGTGAGGACCAGAAGCTGCAGGAGGTCTCCCGAGGCAAATCCTGCAGGCGGGGAGGAAGGGTGGAAGGGTGACAGCCACAGGAGCAGCCCCTGGAATCCCACTCAGGAGCCAAGGAGACCCAGCAAAAGCACGGACAAGAAAGAGGACAGAGGCCCGGAGGATCAAGAAAGCCATGCTCAGGGAGCAGCTAAGGCCAAGAAGGACCTTGTGGAAGTTCCTCCTGTCACAGAGGAGGGGCCGAGGGAGGTGAAGAAAGACACCAGGCTCATGAGCAGGAGCAAGCACGGTGGCTGGCTCCTGAGAGAGCACCAGGCCGGCTTTGAGAAGCTCCCCAGGACCCGAGGAGAAGAGAAGGAGGCAGAGAAGGAGAAAAAGCCGTGCGTGTCTGGAGGCAGAAAGACGACTCTCAGAGATGACCAACCTACAAAGCTAGAAAAGGAGCCCAAGACAAGGCTGGAAGAGAACAAGCCAGAGCGACCCAGCGGTCGGAAGCTGCGGCCCGTGGGCGTCATTGCCGCCAACGTGGAGAAACATTATGAGACTGGCCGGGTCATTGGGGACGGGAACTTTGCTGTCGTGAAGGAGTGCAGGCACCGCGAGACCAGGCAGGCTTATGCGATGAAGATCATTGACAAGTCCAGACTCAAGGGCAAGGAGGACATGGTGGACAGCGAGATCTTGATCATCCAGAGCCTCTCTCACCCCAACATCGTGAAACTGCATGAAGTCTACGAAACAGACACGGAAATCTACCTGATCCTGGAGTATGTGCAGGGAGGAGACCTTTTTGACGCCATCATAGAAAGTGTGAAGTTCCCGGAGCCCGACGCTGCCCTGATGATCATGGACTTATGCAAGGCCCTTGTCCACATGCACGACAAGAGCATTGTCCACCGGGACCTCAAGCCAGAAAACCTTTTGGTAAGCCCCGACTTCTGATGATATGGGAGAGGGTGTTTTTAGAATATGGGATAAAATCGATATTAATTGCTTTATACTCTGTCATCTTTACACACTGGAACTTTACTTTTATGTTATTTTAACATACTTGTTCCAGTATTAAAAACTATGTTTATAGGTCATAGGTTGCTGAGATAAATTAGTTTTGACTAACTAATGGAAAAAGAAACCTTCCAATTTAAGTAAAATGGATAATGTATCCTCATCTCTGGGAGAAAAATACTTTTGTCTTGATGATGACCAGGTGGACTTAATTTCTTGGGCACGTAGGTACTGGGAGTGTCTGCTGGTGGCAGCTTCCCCTCAAGGCTTTGTGTGCATCATCCAGCCTTAGCAAAGTAGAGATGCCACTTTGGTCTTTTTGAGGATAACACTTTGCCAAGGAGCTCAAAAGGTGCAGCGCTGCAGGGGTCTGTGTGGGAAGTGCCTGTGAGTCTGGCTCTGGAGTCAAATAACCTGGGTTTGAATCCTGGCTTTCTTAGTCACTTGCTCTAGGAGAAGTCGTTTATCTTGCTGGACCTTAGTTTCATCATTTGTAAAAGAGAAATGGTAATAGTGACTATTTTGGAAGGTTGCCTGCAGTTTGAGCATGGGAAAAAGAAAAGCAGCCCCTGACAGCTGGGAGCTGGCCTGACACTCTTATCTCAGTTACGTCATTCTCCTGTTGAGCATAAACACTTTCACAGATCATGACATCAGATAAGGCCACTCTGTGACCATAATGGATTAAGACAAAAGCAAAATGCCTTTATACTGATGTCTAAATGCAGATAAAAATAAGAATATTGTCCAAACCGCAAATATGGTCACATATCCCCTTTGTGGCTGCTGTGAGTGACTGACTGCATTGCCTCATCCTTCATACCTTCATGTAAGAATTATTAAGATATTCAATTATAGAATTACCCCCATGTGCTGACACTATCCAGCCCAGAGCAAAACTCTGCTTTCATGACTGAATCCTTCCCCAAATCATCTCACACAGCCCACATATTATCATGAGTCCTTTAACACGCTCTGACTTTGAGTCTGCGATCCCAACAGTGTGTGTTCTCCCTTATTGGAATGAGTCAATTAGCTTAATGTGTTTGACTACAAGTGTGTGGCAGGAGGTCTTTGTCAGGATGACACCGTCACCCTCTGCCACTTTCACCCACTTTCTTCTTTATAGCCCCAGTCACCACTTGATAGAGTCGATACTTACTTTTCTGTCTTCCTCCTCTTACTGGAAAGAAAGTTCCATGACCGCATGGACTTTGTTTTATTCAGACTGTGCTCCCAAACCTTGAACAGTCTGCCACATGGTCGACATTTAATACATATTGGTTGTATGAATGCCTAAAGGCCATGCCATGCTGCCTGGGAAGCAGCAAGAACTCCATCCGTGGCAGCAACTAACACTATTATTACATTAAAAACAACCCTGATATCAAGGTGAATAACATGAGTAAGCATTCAAAGTCACGTTGCTGCAGATAAAGCAAGAGTGAATGGACACAGTGATTTCGATGAGCCATACTTTGCAGGGCGCTAGGAGGGTGGGGGAAGGGATTTAGCCCTTTCCTTTCCTTTCCATGGCTGTAGACCAAGCCTGGAAACACCATCCCCGTGCATTCGCCTGTCTGTAAACTGTTCTTACAAGCAGGTGAAATACTGAGTGAGTCAAGCTAATTATCTGGTGAAATGAGGTCTATCTTGACCACTAAGTCGAGCAGCCTTGTTTTTGTCCTATTTCATAGAATTACAGAAGCAATTTGACTGGTTGGCTAAGTGGTCTGAATTACCGTCAAATAACTCTCTTTGAACAATTTCACTTTTGCATTAGCTGGATGTCCTTGCCCTTTTTTTAACTTGCTTTTTGATTGTTCCTGTCTTTCGGCTCTGAGCCCAGATATCTTCCATGTGGAATGTACTGTACGGTCTTTATTACAGACACTTTGGAATTGCAGCAGAGCAGTGTTCTTCAACAACTCTGCTTCTTTCACTGAATTGTCTAAGCAGGAGACATCCCTTTAGAGGCCTTGGGAGGTCCCATGAGCTGCACATTTCAGACACGTGCCTACTATAGCATTGTAACAGTCACACAAGTTCTCAGCTATGTGGCATGAGATCATTTTCTTTTGGAGACAATTAGCTTAGTTTGCATTTTCTAACAAGATCCTGGAACCAGTCGGTTGAGTCAACCCATCTCTTGGGTAATAGACGCTCTCACTTGTGTGAAGGGATTTTCCAGCTATTTTTGAGATGGAGAAAGTCAGCAGTGTTTATGATCGCATGGAGGATGGTTTGAGGAAGTAGGAAAACAGCAAGGAATGTGTTTAATATGGACAAGCTAATATGTTTAGTGCTCTGGGGCAATGGGATTGTGTGTGTGTGTGTGTGTGTGTGTGTGTGTGTGACACAGAATGAGAGAGAGAGAGAGAGAAGGCAAAACTATAGAGTGGCTATAATTTTTTCAGTCTAAATGCATGAGTTTTTGTTTATTGGAATTAATCCCAATTGATATGTAGACCCTTTCTTTTTTCTGATTTTGAAGAAAGATCACATATATATTTCTCAAATAAAAACTTTTTTTTTCTGGTTGTGGTATGGCTTTTTCAAAACTGTAGAAGGCTACATATTTGAGCTATCTTATGTGAAACAGGTTAATATGCTTGTTCTCCTGTGGATAATTTGTCAGCTAGCATTTATCAAAATGGACAGCCTGTCACATTTATAAAACATGTTTATCCTTTTTCTGGGTGAGTAAAGTTCAACATATTGTTATGTCAGAAGTCTAAATGCTATCTGATGTCAGTGCTTTCTGGTTTTTCAGACAGAGATAGAGATAATATTGTTTGACAGTTGACTCATTGTCTGGCTTTAGCAAGTTGCTGATGTAATGACATTGCAAATCTGTTTGGCCTTCTAAGATTTAAAAGATTAATAAATATCACATTGGTGACTACTGTCCATAAGTTAGTGTTGTTCAGTTGCCTTTAATTTATTGTTTTGCACTAGTGTTGAGCTTTATATTGTCAAACTAATTGTTTCTTCCTTGAATGGATAGTTGCTGAGTCTGTTAAGGCCTGTTTTTGATAAGCTTTGGGAAGTGAATATGTCAGAACTAACTTTTGATCACATGGCTGATTGTAAGTGTTGCTGCTTTTAGAGACTATCTGTGTGCTAAAAGCTACTAATGAATATAGATAGTAAACTTATCATGTTTTAATCAACAGAAATATTTATATCTGATAATTGGGCCCTGGAGTAAAATTTTAGGCCTATGTTACTGAGTTTATCTATTTCTATTGATCACATTTCCCGATAACATGATGGTGCTCTTCTTCCCTTAGGGTTATTTAGACTCCTGAGATCTTGCGAAAGAAGTTTTAATTATAAGAATTTCTAGCTTGCAGAAATACCAGTGTTAACTGCTTCTTCTGCCAGTGTGTGCTTCTTGGAGGGGTTGGAATATGCTGGGTGGTGTTGGCTGGGCCCTGGGGAAGGAAGCGGGGAAGTAAACAGGAGCTGGAGAAGTGATGATGATGGTTAGACCAGCTCATATAGGGTGGAAGGGCACATGCCAGGTTATTTATTATAGCTGATGGCTGAGAGATTATATCCATCAAAGAAAGCTGGGTGAGTGGGGTGGGGGAAGAGACTGAGGAGGTGTCAGACATGAGCATTGAGCATGGTCATTTGAGAAAATTTCTTCCAGAATACGGGGAAGAGAAGGATGTGTTCTTGCACTGGAAACAGAGTGGAAAGGAATGAGCAGGGTGGGGAGACTGCTGCACCTCCACTGGCATGTAGGGTGCTCATGTCTCCAGTTTCCCTACTGCCCCCAGCCTAGCTGCTATGGCTCTGGAGTGCTGGGAGCAGAGACCCCCTGAAATCCAGGAAAGATGGTGGTGGGGATGGTGGGGACAGGTCTCAGCTTGGTCAAGGACAAAGGTTGTATCCTCTTTCTGGCCTCCTGCTGGTTCTAGGAAGGAGCAGCCTTGTCTATATATTTACTGGCAAATATGACTAGGGCAGGGCAGTGACTGATGTCCCCAAGGGTGGCAGGGAAAGTCTAGAAGGATAAAAAGTAGCCCGCCACACTTCCTGCTCATTTCTCTCTACAGTAAACCTGTTCAGTCATTTTGTTGGTCTGAATTCTGTAAGTTCTTTTTCCTTTCTACTTTGATATACAAGAAGGACTCACATACCATATTGCGATGGTAGTCACTGGCTCTGTAATGCATAATTCTCCTCGATCAGCAAGATTCTATGCTACCAGCTTCAATTTCAATCTCCTTTCCCTTAGCTTCCAAGACAGAGGTATTCATGTCTTTTCATTAATAGTCCAAGTATTCATGAATGCATTTATACCCCAATTACATTAATTTAAAAAATTGGTAACAACTATGAAGTATACGTAAGCTCTACTTAATAAAATAATGTGAATTTCAGCAATAACATGAAATTACCAAAGAAAAAGTGCAGTGATACAACAAGACTTTAGGTCATTGGCCAATTTTGATCAAGTCAGAGAGAATGCTGTTATATAAGAGATTGATCTCCTCTAGAGAACTGCAGGCAGGGCATATTCTTGTCAGAAATCACTACAGTTATGACTGTAGGTTTACATTGGTAAGAAAGGCTATCGGTATCCATTGCAGCAATTTCCAGGACAACAATTGTATCTGTACGCTCGGTGAACTTACATATTGTCCAGGGTTTGGCCACATAGGCAAAGGTTGCAGGAAGTTTCTCAGTCTTCAAAATTCTAGACACTGGGTCATCTTGAGGATCGAGGTTTTCTTTCCTCTGTAAGTTCCTTTTGAAACATCCACCTAAAAGGATAGGTGTCTAATAAATTACTGTCTGCAGTAAATTGTCAACAACAAAGACAATTTTAAAGCATGACTCCTGTTTATCAACTTGGTGGATATCTTCTAAAACTATGACCTCATTTCATCAAGGAGGCCTGAAGG